TTTAACAGCTGTCGGACGGGTGGCTTAGAAATGACAGCAGCCTGTAGTTGGTTGCAGTTTTTTCATCTCATCCCGTATATGGTGAGCGATATCCGTAAAATCGGATAAAGATGTATATCGAAGCTATATAAAAATCTGAACCGATCTCCATAAAATTTGGCAGAGGTATTTTCGAGCAGTATCTGATTACCGGTATCAAATATCATTGTTGTGTAGGGCATATTACGCATGTGAGGGACTTAAAACTCCAAATCGGTTTAAACATACATACATGGTAGCTATAGCTACATCTGAACCGATTTTCACCAAATTCGAAGTACTAGTTTCTAGGATGAGTTAAGTCAGAATTGCCAAAATTCAGTACATTTGGGCTAATATTAGCCGTTTGGTGAAAAATAAACCTTATATCGGATAAATATATATATGGGAGCTATATCCTAATCAGATCCGATATCGATACAATTTGACAGAGGTATATTTGAGCTATATTTTTATATATTTGAGTTATATGGTACCAAACATAATTCTTGTGGAGTGCATGTCACTCATGTGAGGGACTTAAAACGCCAAATAGGATGAAACATTTATAAGGGGGCCATAGCTATATCTGAACCGATTTTCTGTAAATTTTTATGAAAATTCAAGTCATTTAACTATTTGGTGGACAATTAACCCAAAATCGGTTGAAGATATATATGAGAGCTATATCCAAAATTTGAACGGATTCTCACCAATTTCAATAGGGTTTGTCCTTGCGCCAAACAAATATTGTTTGGAAAATTTTATCTCAATTGGATAATAAATGCGATCTGCATTTAGTTCACAAAAATGCATGGAGAGACGGACGGACTGTCATGCATAAATAGACTCAAAAAGTGATTCTATGAAGATCCACAAAAGTAACTATGAGCCGATCTCGTTTCCTTCTCCATGTTACAAACAAATGCACAAAGACATAACGCCCTTACCACTATGCGGTGTAGGGTATAAACACAACATAGATTTCCATCATGTGATAACTGAAATTTCAATACAAATTTTGTATCGTCACATTTCTGCCACAGTCTAATGGAAAAGCATCTCTCTCGCTCTCTCTCTCTCTTTTATATGGTGAAATAAATGAGTGATTTAACTTAGTTTTCTAACGACAATTACGCCGTGGCGGTGGGTTGGAAGCGCAGCGGGGAGGAGAAGGCGTATGACAAAGTGAACTAATTCACAAATTATAGAGATTTTTTTTCCTCAAATGAATGAACGAACAACTCGTGGTCGTCTTCGTCTTTTGTGTGTAGTAAAATGACACAGTCGTTCAAATTCTTTTTTCTTTTTTTATCTGTCTCTAACAACCGAAGACATTTCACTCGTGCATCGCCATCGCCATCATCATCATAATTTTCGCATTTGAATGCGAGAGCAAATAACAACAATTAAAACGCCATCAATTTCTGTCTCGTAAATTAACTTACAATAAGTCTTTTATTTATACACATAATTTACAAAATAAAAAAAAATATGATTTCTTTTAGAGAAAGAAGACTTAGAAATGTGAGATATAAAAAATAAATAATGTATATAAAATAAAATTAAATTAAAAAAATATGTATTTGCAAATATTACTAAGTAGTATTAGATTAACTTATGTGCATATATTGTTAATTATTATTAATATTTTTTTTGTTTGATAAATGTCAGTTTTCAAAGCTTAATTATAAATCCTCCTTGTTGGAAATTTTTTTATTTCTATTTTTATTTTTGTTTGAATGAGAATTATTTCTTCGTTAATGTGCAATAGATTATTTTATTTTCAATTTGCTATTAACTCTATTAATTATTTACAATATGTATATATTTTGTTAAATGTATGTTTTGATTTATGTTAATTTAGTTTTCGAAGACGTTTTTATAGGTTATGAAGACAATTGTTTTAGCTTAGCGTTTATATTTTTATTTAAATTATTTAATTTTCTTATACAAAGGCAGGTTTTTGTAGTTATATATAGTACAGAATTTTGTTTTTTTTTTTTAATTTAGATTAAAGTTTAAAAATTGTTTAGTTACCCCTTAACTTCGCAATGAAAAAGTACATAAAGCTAAAGTCGTCACGGCCGACCCTTTGGTAACCTACGCCACTACATTCATATGTGCTAATATTTTAAATGATAGACTTAATATTGTCTAGATGGTATTAACATAGCTTGGAATTTCGGGGTTTCAACGGGCATTTAACTCTGCGGCAGTCTAGTTCCAATTTTTAGTATACGTCCCCCATAAGTCTACCCTGTCCGTATACTCAAAGGGATTCCTTTTTACGCTTGTTTTTTGTTAATAGCAATGCCATCTACATTTGAGGAGTAAGAAACAGATACTCCCTCTATAATGATAGACCACGATTTTAATTTTCCTCAACAATTTAAAAAATTAGAGGTCTCTAACCAAATATTAAAATCTGCGGCAGTTTAGCTTCAAGTTTTACTATACGTCCCCCATAAGTCTATTTTATTCCTTTTTACGCTTGTTTTTTTGTTAATAGCAATGCCATCTATATGTGAGGAGTAACAAACAGAATCTCTCTCTATAATGATAGAACCCTATTTTCACTTTTCTCAACAATTTTAATTGGTAAGGAAAAGTCAAAAGTCGGGTATTTCCAAGCTCTATAAGATATCTGATACCAAATATCATTGTTGTCAAATGCAAATTACGCATGTGAGGGACTTAAACACCAAATCGGATGAAACATGTATATGGGAATTATAGCTATATCTGAACCGATTATGTCCGAATTCGATGTACTTGCTTCTAGAATGAATTCGGTCGGATGTACCAATATTCAGGACTTTTTGACAGATATTGGCCATTTGTTGCACAATTAAACCGAAATCGATTAAAGATCGGAGATCGGATCGGTGTATCGGAGTTATATCCAAATCTGAACCGGTCATGATAAAATTTGGCAGAGGTATTCCTGGGATGATACCAAACATCATTTTTGTGGGATGCATATTACAAATCGGATGAAACCTATATACAGGGTGAGATGGAAAAACTGCAACCAACTTCAGACTGCTGTCATTTCTAAGCCACTTGTCCGACAGCTGTTACAATTATTCCAGTGACAGCTCATTATATTGTTTACAAGTGTACAAAAGCATTTTGGTGAGAATTTTCCAGAAAAAAAGTTATTCGTGATGGAATTCAAGCGTGTGATAGTGTAATTTCTTTATATTTGGCTGGAAAACCGCAAGTGGCTATCGTTAGAGCACTCCAGCATTTAAATGTGAATAAATCTTTTGTGTCTTCTACCATCGCTCGTTACCGTGATACTGGTAGCGTAGCCCGACGTCAAGAAAGTGGACGGAAGAAAACAGCAACATCAGCAGAAATGGTTCGAAAAGTAAAGAAACGTCTTGACCCTCGTCGCAGTGGACGAAAAATAAGTCGTGAGCTGAACATATCGGGTTAAAGCCATTGAAATTCTAAAAAGTGCAAGAACTTATACCGCAACAGAAAGAAAATAGACTCAAAGGAGCTAAAGAGTTGCTTCGCTTGGCCGAAAGTGGTGAACTGCCGAATTTGGTTTTCTCCGATGAGAAAACATACGTTGTCCAGCAGTTTGTAAACAAACAAAATGATCGTGTTTACTTACCAAAGAGGTCGGCTGAAAATGTGCACTTTCGGTTGGCCACCAGAACTCAAGCGCCGGCCATGGTGATGGTGTGGGCCGCCATAACAGCCGAAGGTCGCTCTCCACTCGTATTAATCGACTGTGGCATCAGAATAAATGCCGAATATTAAAGCGAAAATGTTCTAGAGGGTGTGTTAAAGCCTTGGGTACGCAAACATTTTGGCCGCAGTTCTTGGACATTCCAACAGGACTCAGCACCGTCGCACTCAGCACGCGCCAACCCAGAAAGGTTGCAAAATGAGGTTCCTCGCTTCATTTCCAGCGTACAATGGCCACCAAAATCTCCGGATATCAATCCGTTGGATTATTGTGTCTGGAATATTTTGGAAAGCAAGGTTGGCACTAAAAAATATCAAAGTGTCGATAACCTCAAGCAAGCGCTTCGCCGGGAACGGGTCAAAATACCGCAGAGCAGCATTCGGGCAGCGTGTGACGGTTTCATTGGCCGTTTAAAAGCCATAATTCGTGCCAAAGGTGACCAATTCGAACAAATCTAAACTTATTCTAAATTTTGATGCTACTTCCGACATTTTTTGCTTTCATTCAATAAAACTTAAAAAAAACAATGTAAAAATTATGGCGTTTGACTTTGTTGCAGTTTTTTTATCTCACCCTGTATCTGAACCTCTATTCTCCAAATTTGATGTACTTGCTTTTAGACTGAATTCGGCCGGATGTGTCAAAATTCAGGTCATTTGGTTGACAATAAACCCAAAGTCGGTTGAAAATATATATGAGAGCTATATCTAAATTTGAACCGATTCTCATCAATTCCAATTGAGGTTGTCCTTGGGCCAAATAAATATTGTTTGGAAAATTTTATCTCAATTGGATAATAAATGCTACCTGCTGTTCACAAAATTACATGGACAGACGGACTGACATGCATAAATCGACTCAGAAAGTGATTCTATGAAGCTCCTCAACAGTAACTATGAGCCTATCTCGTTTCCTTCTCCATGTTACAAACAAATGCACAATGAAATAATACCCTTACCGCTATGTGGTGTAGGGTATAAAAATGTCGAAGTTCACTCAAGTTTCTGCTGTCGTAGTTCATCCAAGTTTTCAGCTTTCAAAGGCTTGACCAATGCCAACACATTTTGGAAGAGGGTTTCTAGCCATTCCGAACAAAAATCTTAAATTACAGCCAGATCATTTCTAAACATCCTAAGATAAAGAAAACATTTTTATGGAGGAGTGGTAAAATTTGAAATAAAGAAAGGATTAAAAAATGTGACAAATTTCATATCTCTGACAAAATCTCTTCTAAGAATAATCAAAAAGTTAAATTAATTGCAAATAACGGATAAAATGTTCGAGGTAAAAATGATGCAGGGTATTTAGAGAATTTCTGTCTATCTAATCATATTTTCATTCATTTTGTGTATATTTATATTCAACTTTTATATTTAACTTACAAACTATAATTGATTTATTAACGATATTTATTTTTCTTCATTGCAGATATTATAAATTACCTTCTATATCAACTGGTAAGTACGTTATAATTACAATAATTATATTTAATTATATTAATTTTTTTTTCAATGTTTTGCTCTGAACACATAAATGTGCGTTAACTGTAACTTTGTTTTTTTTTTTTTCATAAAAAATCTATATAAACTTAATATTTACTTAAAAAAGTTATTGAAATTAAATAAGAAATACTTAAACATTGGTACTAGCTACTTAAATGGTATTAGATTTAGCTACGTTTATTAAAATAATTATTATTTAATTTATGAATTTTAAAATCTACTGAATGCTTTTAAACGTTTAAACTACACCGAAGACTCATAGATGACAATTTGTAAGACCTTGGGTTTATTATTCTGTGCCTCCTTGACTTCCTTCAGAATGGCATTGGTAATGGCTTCTAATGCTGCAATATCAGCATTGTTGGGATCCTTACGTGACATATTCCATTTGGGCATCGATACCTGGGGAGAGTAAATGAAAATAAAATAAATAGAAGGTGTTAGTGGATTTTGTAATAGAAAATTTAAATATTTCAAAATTCTAACAGTGTTGGCATGTTTGTTCGGGATACCGTAGTATTTTGTTGTTGCAAAATAGTTAGGCTTAATCGCATTATTGTTTTTATACCCTACATCACAAGGTGGTCAGGGTATTATGTCTTTGTGCATTTGTTTGTAACAGGCAAAAGGAAACGAGATAGACCCATAGTTCTTTCTGATGATCTGCATAGAATCACTTTCTGAGTTGATTTATGCATGTCAGTCCGTCTGTCCGTCTGTCCGTCCGTCCATCCATCAGTCTGTCCATATATTCTTGTGAACAAAATGCAGGTCGCATTTATTATCCGATTGAGATGAAATTTTGCAGAAATCATTTGTTTGGCCCAAGGACGAACCCTATTGAAATTGGAGATAATCGGTAAAAATTTAGATATAGTTCCCATATATATCTTCGTCCGATTTGCCTTTTATTGTGCACCAAACGTGTAATATCAGCCCGAATTGTATAGAATTTTGCACATACAACCAAATTAGGCCTGAAAATAAGTATGCCAAATTTGATCGAAATCGGTTCAGATATAGCTATAGCTCCCATACATATGTTTCATCCGATTTGTTATTTTTGTCCTCCGCAGCCGTAATATGCACTCTGCAACAACAATATTTGGGGAAATATATCAAATATATCTCAGAAATACCTTTGCTAAATTTTATCGAGATCGGTTCAGATGTGGATATAGCTCCCATATATAACTTCGTCCGATTTACCTTTTATTGTGCACCAAATGTCTAATATTTGCCCAAATGGGATGAAATTTGGCACTTACGACTGAATTGAGTCCAGAAGGTAGTATACCAAATTTAGTGAAGATCGGTTCAGATATAGCTATAGCTCCCATATATATTGTTCATCCGATTTGTTGTATTTGTTACCCACAGCCGTAATATGCACTCCGTAACAACGATATTTCAGGAAATATATACAGCTCAGAAATATATTTGCAAAAATTTTTCGAGATCGGTTCAGATTTGGAAATAGCTCCCATATATATCTTTATCTGATTTTAATTAATTTTGCACCAAATGGGCAATACAAGTCCTTTGAACATTAAATTATAATTATGATCATAGCGTGTATGATTGAATTCTCCCTAAATTAGCAAAGTGGTGTAGGGTATCATAAAGTCGGCCCCGCCCGACTTTAGGACTTTCTTTACTGGTTTTTTCATAAAAACAACCAGGGGGCAAGACAGGGAATACCTAGGTTTCGGAAGGGAGTTGTTTTGAAATAACTTCTGGGGAATAATATCCCGGACAAAAAGCAAGGGAACAGCCTAACCCCCTGGTAAACATTACCCCCGTTCTCCAGTAATAAACAAACGTTGTTTTTTTTATAAAAACAACAATAATGAGATTAAGCCTAACTATTTTGCAACAACAAAATAATTCAAAATTGTCAATATTTTAGTAAAATTGATTGCATAAGTCAGATGTATTCCTCCATCAGCTAAACTCATCTTCCCTTCTGGTACATCCAACACAAAGGTCAACATTTTCTAAAAAAAATTTTACTGCACATAAGGAGAAAGGAAAATCCGATTTTGCTCTAACTTTGAAAATCCTTATATTTGCATCAGCGCTAGGTGCCCGGTGCGAAAATTGATAATATCTGTCCACACCCAAGTACTTCCCACACAAAGGGTCAAAATTTTGAATTATAACTCCAATTGTTGTCTTCAAATTACACACATCACAATATTTTTATTAACCCCAGATCTGGTGTGAATATAGGATATATCGGTTCACTCTTTCTGGTACATTCCTCCACAAAGGGTGAAAATTTTGAAAACGCAAAATTAACATCCGATTCCATTAAGACTTGGTACATCTGAATATTTTCATCAACACAAGATCTGTTATATAGATGGTAGAGAACGGCTAATTTCTTGCGGTAGCTCCGCCACAAAAGGATCTAATTTTTGACTAATTAAAACGATTAAAAAATTTGAAATAAACGTCCGAATCTCTTCATATTTCACACATGATTATTTCTACTAATACAAGATCTGCTGTGAAGATGGGATATATCGGCCACAAAGGGTCAAAATTTTGCCTATCCATGAAGCTCATAAAACCTACCTCACCCACAAAGGGTTACAATTTTCAATACTTTTACCCTGTCATAACTTGCGAAACAAGTCAGCGATTCTTTACATTTTCTTTTAATTTTGCCCATATCATTTTTATACCCTCCACCATAGTATGGAGGGTATATAAAGTCCGTCTGTCTGTGGAAATCACTCCAGCCTCCGAAGGAATTCAAATACATTGATAAAATTTTACGCAAACGTATATTATGACTGCAGGACTTTTGGTATTGAAAATGGGCCATGTTGGTCTACGTTTCGCTATAGCCCCCAATATAACGGTACCTCCTGATATACGGTATTTTGATGATTTTTGCGACTCGGAATTATTTCAAATTTGTTATTTGAAGTTCGTAATGGATACTACAGCCTATGACAGAAAATTGTCTACGCAGGTCCACGTCTTCGTATAGTCCCCATATAATGGTACCTCCCGATATTCGGTACTTTTTTGATTTTTGCGACATTATTCACCGGAATTCTTTTAAATTTGGTATTTTATGTTCGTAAAGCATGCTGCTACAGCCTATGATAGGAGATTGTCTGTGCAGGTCCACGTCTTCGTATAGTCCCCATATAATGGTACCTCCCGATATTTGGTACTTTTTTGATTTTTGCGACATTATTCACCGGAATTCTTTTAAATTTGGTATTTTATGTTCGTAAAGCATGCTGCTACAGCCTATGATAGGAGATTGTCTGTGCAGGTCCACGTCTTCGTATAGCCCCCATATAACGGTACCTCCCAATATTCAGTTTTTTTGGTGGTTTTGGCGGCATTATTCAACGGAATTGTTTCAAATTTTGTATTTGATGTTCGTCATGGATACTACAGCCTATGACAGAAAATTGTCTCTGCAGGTCCACGTCTTCGTATAGCTCCCATATAACGGTACCTCTCGATATTCGGTATTTGGATGATTTTAGCTACATTATTCTCCGTGTTTTTTATGTTTCGTATTTGAATATTGTAAGGGCTTATGAAAAAAATTGCCGGCCCACGTCGTACAGACCCTAATACAACGGCTACATTCGGCATTTTTAAGATTTTAACAGAAATTTTAATTGATTTTATTATTTATTTATTTATTATTTTTTTTTTTTTTTTTGAAAATTGCCAAATTCGTTGCAAATGCTTGAGGGTATTTAATTTTAATTTTTTTTTTGATTTCGGCCAGGAACTCAAACCACAAACTCAAATCCCATTCAAACGTCAACAAGTTTGCTATTCTATGTCACTTTTATCCTCTTAACTTGTTGTCCCCTTTTTAAATGTGACTACCCCCCCACTGATATTTATTGGCAATTTAAAGTTTGGCCAACTTATTGTTTTATCACGACAACATCAACAAATTGACCCACTTTACACTTCGTCGGAACTTAAGGCAAAACATTTATGCAACACTTTCACAAGCAAACAAACCACAAAAAAAAAAAAAAAAAAAACAAAGGATATTTATGGCCTACATACCGTCAGGACTTTTTGTAATGCTGCGTAATCTAGGCCAGTGCCGGCTGTCTCGCCTAAACGTCTCAGTGTTTCAGCCATGGGACCGGAAAGTTCCTAGAAACACACACACAAAAAAAAAATGGAAACGGAAATAAATTTAAACACCACGAAAACCAAAAGTTCATTAATCTCCATTTAAAGTTGTGTGTGTGCGAGTATGTGTGTGTGTGCGTGTGTGTGCGACAGGAGTGGAAGCAAAAGACCATAACACTTACTTGTAACTTGGCCCAACTGGTGGCATACTGACGTCTTACCAATTCAATAATGGTCGATGTTAATGCCAAACCTATTAAAATATATAATGTGCACAGCAGCATATAATTGGGTTTCTCTGTGGAAAGGAGGAGGAGAACAAAAGAAACAGGATATTCAAGGATTAGTTACATTTGAAAATTTTCATAAGTAAGCAATGACCAATCTTACTTGGTACCAAATCACCAAAGCCTATTGTTGTCATGGTGATGAAACAAAAATAGAAGCCATCAAAAAATGTCCAATCATCCTCCCACAGCAGCAGCAGACCAGCTCCAATGGCCAGATAGACGCAAAGGAACAGCACCGCCGACAGAGCATAAAACCATGTCTTACCAATGAAATTGGTGACTTTTGGTGTTTCTGGAAGCAGAGGAGGAGTTTTCAAAATTCATATTTTCCAAGTTGTTAAAATGATGATCCACTTACTCGGCATATGTCTGCCCAATACCGAAACAGCTGTCGCAAATAAACGTCCCCAATCCGCTATAACCGTCAGCGTAAAAGGAATGCCTATTAATGCGAAGCATATGCAAAATGCTCTGCCCCCGATTGTGACGGGTACAATGTTGCCATAGCCTATTGTTGTCAGCACGGTGGATGAAAAGAAGACGGCCTGCAGTATGCTCCAGCGTTCATAGGGCTCGGGAAAATCTTTGTCGGCCTCAATTAAGAGGCCACCCTCCGCTGCTTCTTGGACGGCCTGGAAAGAGAGTGAAAAAATAAAAATATCCAATTTAATAAACCATTCACAAATTATTATTTTCAAAAATAATGATTAGAAATTATTATCCCATCAAAGCTCGACTATAAATTAAAGGATGTTCTGTTACAAATCCTTTAGACGACACAACATTTCTGCCAGCTCTCTTAACCTAGTTCCAGTTCCAAAAATGTTTTATCAACAAGTTGTAAAACTCCATCAAGTTTATTAAACAAGGGCAAAAAGTGAAAGTGCTAACATCCTGACTAATGATCCTTGGCAAAGTTAATTGGCCAAGAAATAATGAGGCTGTTTGTTTGATACGTGTCTAGGATGCTTCGTTTGGCATCATGTTCGTAGGATTCGATCATAAATTAATTGTCACCCATTAAACAATGAAAAAGTGTTAATATCTTTAGTGGAAAACATAGAAGACTTTTAAGGGTGCACATTGCCGAATGACTTGTCATAAAAATCATAAACTTTGAATTTTATCGATTGCCGCGACATCAGCAGAAAATTACTGCACAGTGGGAGGAAATTTAGAAAAGCCTTCGAAAAATTTTTTACCAGAAATTGTAAGCATTAATTGCATTGAGCAACAAAAAAATCTCAGTAGATTATTAAAGTAGAGCTAAAAATAGAAGACCCATGTATTGGTGTTTTGAAAGTTTGCACCACAAAGATGTTGGTATCCACCTTTTCAGCATTTTAGAATTTCAGGATTGACTTTAGGTTTGAAATCCTTGCATTTTAGATATTTAATGTCTTCGCAATATTGCTGATAACAATGCGATGATTAGTTTGGCCAAATAATTCAACCCTCAAGCGAGTCACGAAAGGGGAATTTTCGGTCATTAAAAATGGCTTAAAATTCCCCTTAAACGGGGACTCAAATATTCTAAAAAGTTCTTGTCATAAAATTCTTCTATAGTTTCAGATTACATGAAATCTCCAAATCCAAATCAAATATTCTAAAAAAATTTTGTCGCAAAATTCTTCTATAGTTTCTCCAAATCTTACACGAAAGTCGGTAATTTACATATAAACATTAAAAGTTTATAGAATTTATAAACATTAGTACCGTTTATTACGTTTTGAATAATTATAGTACGGATATGAAAAACCACCGCAGGTCCCAATATCAGATACAACAAGTAAAAAAGCTGTAAGTTCGGCCGGGCCGAACTTTAAATGCCCTCCACCATTTGGTACAAATTTGGCAATTTCCAAAAAAAAAAAAAAAAAAAAAATAAATAAATAAATAAAATAAAATCCGTTAAAAATTCTGTTAAAATCTTAAAAATACCAAATGCTTATACGACGACGTGGACCTGCACAGGCAACTTTTGTCATAAGTTATTACAATGTTAAAATGCGAAACTTGAAGAAAAATCTGTTTATAATGTAGCTAAAATCATCAAAATACCGAATATGGGGGGTACCATTATATGGGGGCTGTACGAAGACTTGGACATGCACAGACAATTTTCTGGCATGGGCTGAAGTATCCATTACGATCTACACATGCGAAATTTGAAACGATCCCGGTAAATAACGTCGCTAAAATCATCAAAATACCGAATATCGGGAAGTACCGTTATATGGTGGCTATATGATAACTTGGACCTACATGGCCCATTTACGAACTTAACCTGCCTACTGGCAAAATATACATGTGCGCAAAATTTTAGCCTTCTATCTCAATTTGTTCGAAAGATAGCGTGATTACAACAGACAGACAGACACACAGGCAGACAGACGGACATGGCTAAATCGTCTTAGAATTTTACGCTGATCAAGAATATATATACTTTGTTGGATCTGACATGAGTATTTCGAGGAGTTACAAACGGAATGACAAAATTAATATACCCTCCATAGTATGGTGGAGGGTATAAAAAGAAACCCCAATATCGGTTAACGGTTTCAGTTTTATCCCTTCAACGAATACCAAACATAGTACTATTTAGTACTTTTCGTACAATTATATTACATATTTCCTAAACTACCTCCATATTTCAATTCCAGATACCAACAGCGACTTAATATTAAATTTGAGAAATTCAACCCTATCCCTTCACCCAGTACCAAATTTAGTACCATTCAGTACATTTCGTACAATTATTGTGCACATTTTCTAAACCACCTCCATATGTATAGGCTACACATGATCAGCGACCCTAATATCAAATTTCAGATTTCAAGAACTACAGGGTGAGATAAAAAAAACTGCAACAAAGTCAAACGCCATAATTTTTACATTTTTTAAATTTTAATGAATGAAAGCAAAAAATTTCGGAAATAGCATCAAATTTTAGAATAAGTTTAGATTTGTTCGACTTGGTCACCTTTGGCACGAATTATGGCCTTCAAACGGCCAATGAAACCGTAACACGCTGCCCGAATGTTGTTTTGCGGTATTTTGGGCCATTCCCGGCGAAGCGCTTGCTTGAGGTGATCGACACAGTGGTATTTTTTAGTGCCAACCTTGCTTTCCAAAATACTCCAGACACAAAAGTCCAACGGATTGGTATCCGAATATTTTGGTGGCCATTGTGCGCTGGAAATGAAGCGAGGAACCTCCTTTTGTAACCATTCTTGGGCGGCGCGTGGTGAGTCCTGTTGGAATATCCAAGGTCTGCGGCTAAAATGTTTGTTTATGTTTATTTGCCAAATGGAATATTGCGATATGTTCAGCTCACCAGACATTTTTGGGCCACTGCGACGCGTGTTTCGATGAAGTTGCTTCTTTACCTTTTGAATCATTTCTGCTGAGGTTGCTGTTTTCTTCCGTCAACTTGCTTGACGTCAGGCTACGCTACCAGTATCACGGTAACGAGGGATGGTACGAGACACAAAAGATTTATTCACATTTAAATGCTGGAGTGCTCTAACCATAGCCATTTGTGGTTTAACAGCCAAATATAAAGAAATCACACTATCACACGCTTGAATTCCATCACGAATAACTTTTTTTGTGGAAATTCTCACCAAAATGCTTTTCTACGCTTGTAAACAATACAATGAGCTGTCACTGGAATAATTTTAATAGCTGTCGGACGAGTGGCTTAGAAATGACAGAAGTCTGAAATTGATTGCAGTTTTTTCATCTCACCCTTTATCTTCCCTTTCAACCGAGGGCATCTTCAAATATTATTCGTCGAAAGTTTAATGTCAGTGCCTCAATTTTAGAGTTGTTTCCTTTTTTGGTTTTTGTTAAAAACACGTTTTCATTCCTTTGTCCCAACAATGATTTTCTATCCTTAAATACGGACCTAATTATACCCTACAACACTATGTGTTAGGGGTATTATAAGTTTGATTGGGGCAAAAATTATGTAACACATCGAAATATTTGTTTCCCACATAGGAAAGTATATATGAATCTACCTATCTCGCTGAGCTGAGTCGATCTAGCTATGCATGTCCGTCCGTCTGTCCATGTTAATTTGTAATCACTCTACAGGTCGCAATTATGGCCCGATCTTCACGAATTTAGAATGGAGGTCGGGCTAGAGCCAGAATAGAACCCTATTGTTTTTGGAGATGATCGCATAATATTTAGGGGTTGAAACGGACCAAAAAAATTTTCTGATTTTGCAGTTGCTCTACAGGACGAACTTTTGGACCAATCGAAGCGGAAGTTAGCATGGGGCTAGAGCTTCAGGCTGGGCAGAAGCCTTCCAATTTTGGTGGTCATCGGGTAATATTTAGTGGGTGAAATAGACCATAACATTTCGGTTAAATAAACTTCAAATTTTCCATTAAACTGCGAATGTCAATCTTGACCGTTTTGTAGATGCCGATGGTAAATATATCGGATATATATAGCGATATATATAAAATACATATATACAAAGGAAGAGGATGTTAGTTAGAATGCTTATATCTTAAGAATGACAAGAATGATTTTGACAATTTTGTCAATTCAGAATTCCCTATTGGCATAAGAGAATAAAATCTAAAAAAAATCGCATAAAAGATGCCAATAATGGTGTTTTTATAGATTTTGTCTTATTTGTGTCATTTTTTTATTTTTTCATAAATTTTATCGCATGCGATTTTTTCATATTGACTTATAATATTGAAGTGTATATTTTGTAATATTTTTTTCACCTTACAACACAGGTTTTGGTTATTATATACAGTCTGCAATTATCGTCTGATCCTCACGAATATTTTCACAAGGTAGGGTTAGGCTCAGAAGGGCTAGGCCTATTTTTTCCAAAGATGTCCGCAATATGCTTAGGTGTTAAAATGGACCAAAAATAGAAAAAATCGCCCGATCACACAATTGAAGCCAATCGACACGCCTGAGAAGAGAGTTATGGACAGGGAATAATTTTAGCATTTTGGTTGGACCATTGGATTACATTTAGCTTTAAAATGGACCACAACAAATAAGAGCACGACGGAGTTCGTAAATATTGAGCGAAAGTCTCTGTTCAAAATGCTGAGGGTAATATGTGGGCAGTGCTCCGTGGCATAATTTCAAAAGCGAAATATTCCAAAATAGATTTGGACATAAGGGGGCTTCTAACATTGTAGTGTTGTAGGGTATCACATGTTCGGCCCCGCACGACTATAGACTTTGCTTACTTGTTTTAAATTTGTTTAGTTTTTTTTTTCGTCCATTGTTCTCAAGGGCTAGGAGTTCTAAATATTAACAACCATAAGAACAACACAACATCTGCTTATGTTTTTTTTATCGAGTGATAATTTCAAAATTACAATTTGTCGCTTGGTTTGCAGATAAATGATGCGACCACTTGTTTCAAGTATCGCACAACAAGACATAAATTCACAAATGCTTGAATGAAACCAGTAGCAACGAACAGAGCAGCCAATAAAATATGATGTTATCACACCACCATTGCCAACATTATCGTATTTTGTTGTTGTTATTTATTTTCCCAAACCTCATGTTAAGAGCTTTCACCATATGTCTAGGTTTTTTTTTACCACATGCCATGTGGTATGGTAAAGCTTTAGCTTAGAAATCAACCCTGTTTGCTCTGGTGTAGCTAAAAATAAAATTGAAAAGTTCGTTTTGTTATTAAATACAGTTGTTTTGAAAGTTTGTGTTGAGGTTATGTCTGCTACGCTAACAGGGCGTTGGTGGTGTAATGGTCAGCATAGTTGCCTTCCAAGCAGTTGATCCGGGTTCGATTCCCGGCCAACGCACATCGCTTTTTGTGATTTTTTTTATGAAAGTTAATTTATTTTTTATGATTTTAATTAAAATAAATATGGGGAATGGGTTATTGGTTTTGTACAATAAAGCTTTCTTTAATAAAATAACATTTTTTAGAAATTAATATTCGGTTTTAAGCCACTAAAAACAAATATTTATTTTCGAAATATTTGTAATTAATTACGACTAGCTAAAAGCAGAGCATACCCTTTCTAAAGGGAAAAGAATCCGTAATTTAATATCAAACGAGAAAACAAGGAGGGTCATCTATGCAGTAAAGAAAATTTATGTCAGAACTATAGTTTTTATACCCTCCACTATACTATGGAGGGTATACTAATTGTGTCATTCCGTTTGTAACTCCTGGAAATACTCATGTCAGACCCAACAAAGTATATATATTCTTGATCAGCTTAAAATTCTTAGTCGATTAAGCGATGCCCGTCTGTCTGTCTGTGCCAGTAAGCTGGTTAATTTGGTAAATGGGCCATGTAGGTCCACTTTTACTTATAGCCCCCATATAACGGTGCCTCCCGAAATTCGGTATTTTGATTATTTTAGCGACATTATTCACTGGAATTGTTTCTAATTTGGTATTTGAAGTACGAAATTTATATTACAGCCTAAGGCAGAAAATTGTCTGTGCAAGCCTACGTCTTTGTATAGCCCTCATATATCAGTACCTCCCTATATTAGGTATTTTGATTTTAGGTACAATATTCACAGAAATTGTTTAAGATGTCGTATTTGAAGTTCGTAATGGATGCTACAGCCTGTGACAGAAAATTGTCTGTGCAGGTCCAGGTCTTCGTATAGCTCCGATATAACGGTACCTCCTTATATACGGTATTCTGATGATTGTAGCTACATTATTCACCGTTTATTTCAAGTCTCGAATTTGAATACGGTAATGGCTTATGACAAACAAACATACATAGTCTTTGTAGGTCCACGTCGTATTGACCGAAAAATAACGGCTATATTCGGTATTTTAAAGATTTTAAAAGAATTTTTAACGGATTTTATTTTTTGAAATTTTCTAAATTAGTTCCAAATTGTGGAGGGTATTAAAAGTTCGGCCCAGCCGAACTTACTGCTTTTTAACTTGGCTGTATCAGTTTTAGCTGAGGATATAACAAACCATATGGTTATATCGTCAGCCAAAACGTGCTTCATCGAAATAATGGTTTTAGACCCTAGGTCTCTTTGGACCAAATCCGATTCAAGACATTTGGAGTCGATCTAGCGATGTCTGTCCGCCCGTCTGTCTGGCTGGTCCGATTTGATCCAAACTTGGTACGTCATAATTTATTGTCAAACTTAGATCGAGTTCGAAGATGGGCAATATAGGTCCACTACTTCTGGTACCTCCCACACAAAATGTCAAAATTTTCAAAGAAAATAATTAACTACACAAAAAAAGAAAGGATACTCTGATTTTGCTCCAACTTTGCGAATCCTAATATTTTCATCCGTGCTAGGTCAGGTGCGAAAATGGGTCAACATTTTGAATATTTATAACTCTTATAAAATGTAATGTAAGCTTCCGACTGTCTGCAAATTACATCACAATATTTTTCTTAACCTAAGACCTGGTGTAAAAATGGAATATATCGGTCCACTCCTTCTGGTACCTCCTCCACAAGGGTTAAACTTTTGAATATCCGTTGCTTCGCTTGACCGAAAGTGGTGAACTGCCTAATTTGTTCTTCTCCGATGAGAAAACATTCGTTGTCCAGCAGTTTGTAAACAAACAAAATGATCGCGTTTACTTGTCAAAGACGTCCGCTGAAAATGTGCACCTTCGGTTGGCCAGCATAACTTAAGCGCCGGCCATGGTGATGGTGTGGACCGCCATAACAGCCGAAGGTCGATCTCCGCTCGTATTATTCGACCGTGGCATCAAAATAAATGCCGAATATTATCGCGAAAATATTCTGGATGGTGTTTTAAAGCCTTGGGCACGCAAACAATTTGGACGCAGACCTTGAACATTTCAGCAGGACTCAGCACCATCGCACTCAGCACGCGCCACCCAATAATGGTTACAAAATAAGGTTCCTCGCTTCATTTCCAGCGCACAATGGCCACCAAAATCTCCGGATACCAATCCGTTGGACTATTGTGTCTGGAGTATTTTGGAAAGCAAGGTTGGCATTAAAACAAGTAAAAGAACATTAAGTTCGGTCGGGCCAAACTTTTAATACTCTCCACCTTAGGGTAAAGGAAACATTAGAAGAAATGTGGCAAAAACCATCAAAATACCGAATATCGGAGGGTACCGTTATATGGGGGCTATACCAAATCATGGACCTACACATGCAAGGTTTCGCCAACGGAGCTAGAACCCATTATGACCTACAAATACCAATTTTTAGACAAATCCGTGAAAAAATGTGGCAAAAATAATCAAAATACCGAATATCTGGAGGTACCTTTATATGGGGGCTATACCAAAACGTGGACCTATACATGCAATGTTTTGCCACACGTACAGGGACCCGTTATGACCTACAAATACCAATTTTCAGACAAATCCGTGAAAATATGTGGCATAAATCATCAAAATACCGAATATCGTGAGGTACCGCTATATGGGGACTATACCAGAACGTGGACCGATATATCTCATTTCCAATACCAACCATCCTAGACACAATACCAATTGCTCTGCTAAATTTTGGCGCTCTACGTCAAATAATGTGGGCTGTATCGTGATTCAACAGACAGACAGACGGACATCGTTAAATCGACTTCGAATTTTATGCTGATTATGAATATATATACTTTATGGGGTCTACGACGAATATTTAAGGATGTTACAAACGGAATGACGAAGTTAATATTCCCTCCTTTCCAAGGTGGAGGGTATAAAAATAACAAAATGCCGATCACCTCAAGCAAGCGCTTCCCGGGAATGGACCAAAATACCGCAGAGCAACATTCGGGCAGCGTGTGACGGTTTCATTGGCCGTTTGAAGGCCATAATTAGTGCCAAAGGTGACCAATTCGAACAAATCTAAACTTATTCTAAAATTTGGTGCTATACTAGTAATAAAAAATGTCAGAAGGATGAGGTAGTTTTATTTGCTTCCATTTTGATATTCGATATTTGGCCAGGAGACTTTATAAAACTATTTTAAAAAGGAAAACATTACACATTTTTTTAAAAAATCCGACGTTTTTTTTCAAAGAGATCGTTTTAAAAATATTAAAAAATTGCGATTATCGGACCTTGTAAATGTGAAGGAAGTTTTTTCCTTAATAATGTCCATACAGACATTTTTGTGTTTTTTTTTTTAAATCTACGATTTATATACTTGCACCACTTTCCTTTATTTTCTATCCCGATTTCTTTCAATAAAATTATAAACTCTCTCACAAACTTACCGCTTCGTATTTTGCCAACTCGAATTTCAGTAATTCATCCAAATTATTGACATCTGTATTATTAACTATCACATTTATGAATTTTTCACGTTGTGTCTTTACAATGGTCTTCAGTTCCTGGAGCCGTTCAACTTCAGCTGGTCGCTCCAATTGACGAAATATCTAAAAACAGAAGAAGAAGAAGAAAAGAGAAACAAACAAAATGCGTGAGTTGACAAAAATCTCAAGATAAATGACTTAGATTATGTTCTTTGGCAGTAAAAGCCTCCAATTTTTGTGGGAGATATAAAAACGTGTTTGTTTAGTTGAGAGAATACAATTTAAACAACTAAAATCTACCATCCACAAGCATAATCAGTTTCCAAGTGAAAATTGATTGATTACATTCTTAGAATAAGCGCATCACTCGTGAGTTTTTTTTTCTTTTTTTCGGGAGGCGAGTGATAGCCTCCCATGTCAAATCTGCTGCTGGAATGAATATTAAATACAAACATGGAAAAAATTTGTTTACTTCGAGTTTTTAAATAAGCCCAAAAAAAGACGAAAAATGAAGGCTGTGGAGAATAATGGAATTGTCTTGGCTATTCCCAAGGAGGGTTGTTGTGGTTAAATGGACAAATGATAGCCTGTTGCATGGAAATTTGAATTATATTTTGTAATATTTTTTGACATTTTAATCTTCAATTTCAGACAATCAAATCCCAAGAAGAAATATGGCCGTATGCAGTGCCAAGATTTGTTTAAAATGGAGATTTTTATTCGGGAATTACGAAATAAATATGTTTGACTGTAAACATTCTAGAAAATGTGTCATTTTATACCCTCCACCTTGGAAAGGAGGGTATATTAACTTTGTCATTCCGTTTGTAATATCTTTAAATATTCGTCGTAGACCCCATAATCAGCATGAAATTCTAAATCGATTTAACGATGTCCGTCTGTCTGTCCGTCTGTCTGTTGAAATCACGATACAGCCCACATTATTTGACATAGAGCGCCAAAATTTAGCAGAGCAATTTTTGTTGTGTCTAGGATGGTTGGTAATGAAAATGCGATATATCGGTCCACGTTCTGGTATAGTCCCCATATAACGGTACCTCCCGATATTCGGTATTTTAATTTTTTTGCCACATTTTTTCACGGATTTGTCTAAAAATTGGTATTTGTGGGTCATAATGGGTCCTAGTTCGTGTGGCGAAACATTGTATGTATAGGTCCACGTTTTGATATAGTCCCCATATAACGGTACCTCCCGATATTCGGTATTTTGATTATTTTTGCCACATTTTTTCACGGATTTGTCTGAAAATTTGTATTTGTAGGTCATAACGGGACCCTGTGCGTGTGGCAATACATTGCATGTATAGGTCAACGTTTTGGTATAGCCCCCATATAAAGGTACCTTCCGATATTCGGTATTTTGATTATTTTTGCCACATTTTTTCACGGATTTGTCTGATAATTGGTATTTTTTGGTCATAATGGGTTCCAGCTCCGGTGGCGAAACATTGCATGTATGGGTCCATGATTTGGTATAGCCCCCATATAACGGTACCACCCGATATTCGGCATTTTAATGGTTTTTGCCACATTTCTTCTAATGTTTCCTTTACCCTAAGGTGGAGGGTATTAAAAGTTTGGCCCGGCCGAACTTAATGTTTTTTACTTGTTAATTTTAAGTACTTATGATGGATATATGAGACATATACCACCAAATGTAGTCAGCTTTAAGGCATTACTAACCCAAGGCGTAGGCAATTCGAATAGCTTGTGCCACATTCTACATGCATCGCATTCGATTTTTGTCAAACTTAGATTTAATTCGAAAATTGGCCAATCGGTCCAAAAGTTGAAAATTTTCAAAAAAAAAGTTATCGTAATATTCGTATCGAACATGGGACAGGTGCGGAAATAAACAACATCGGTTGACTTCTTTTGGTACTTTTCACAATAAGTGGTAAACATTTTGAAAGCTGTGAAAGATTTCCCTTCAGTGGCCATATATCTCAATTCCAGATTCCAACAGAGATCACAATATCAAATTTGAAGATTCCAACCCAATCCCTTCTCCCAGTACCCAATTTAGTACCGCTTAGTACTTTTCGAACAATCATGGTACACATTTTAAAAACAATCCCCATATCTCAACCTCAGATACCAGCAGTGACCTTAGAATTTCGGGATTTCAGCTCTTTAATTTCCCCCATTACCAAATCTAGTATCATTTAGTACAATTGTAGTGAACATATCCAAAACCAGTTCCTTCTCTAAGCCACAAACACAAACTGTGACATCCATATCAATTTCGAGAATTCCAGCCCAATCCCTTCACAAAATACCAAATTTACAGGGTGAGATAAAAAAAACTGCAACAAAGTCAAACGCCATAATATTTACATTTTTTTTTTAATTTTATTGAATGAAAGCAAAAAATATCGGAAATAAAATCAAATTTTAGAATAAGTTTAGATTTGTTCGAATTGGTCACCTTTGGCACGAATTATGGCCTTCAAACGGCCAATGAAACCGTCACACGCTACCCGAATATTGTTCTGCGGTATTTTGGTCCATTCCAGGCCAAGCGCTTGCTTGAGGTTGTCGACACTTTGGAATTCTTTAGTGCCAACCTTGGTTTCCAAATTACTCCAGATACAATAGTCCAACGGAGATTTTGCTGGCCATTGTGTGCTGGAAATAAAGCGAGAAACCTCATTTTGTAACCATTCTTGGGTGGCGCGTGCTGAGTGCGATGGTGCTGAGTCCTGTTGGAATGTCCAAGGTCTACGGCCAAAATGTCTGCGTGCCCAAGGCTTTAATACACCCTCTAGAATATTTTACCGATAATATTCGCCATTTATTCTGATGCCACAGTAGATTAATACGAGCGGAAATCGATCATCAGCTGTTATGGCCGTCCACACCATGGCCGGCGCTTAAGTTCTGGTGGCCCACCGAAGGTGCACATTTTCAGCTGACCTCTTTGGGAAGTAAACACGATCATTTTGTTTGTTTACAAACTGCTGGACAACGAATGTTTTCTCATCGGAGAAAACCAAATTCGGCAGTTCACCTCTTTCGGCCAAGCGAAGCAACTCTTTAGCTCTTTTTAGTCTATTTTCTTGCTGTTGCGGTGCAAGTTTTTGCACATTTTGGAATTTCAATGGCTTTACCCGAGCTAATTTTTCAATATTTGCCGAATGGAATATTGCGATATGTTCAGTTCACGAGCTATTTTTCATCCACTTCGACGCGGGTTTCGATCAAGTCGCTTCTTTATTTTTCGAACCATTTCTGCTGATGTTGCTGTTTTCTTCCATCCACTTCCTTGACGTCGGGCTACGCTACCAGTATCACGGTAATGAGCGATTGTACGAGACATATTATTCACATTTAAATGCTGGAGTGCTCTAACGATAGCCACTTGTGGTTTTCCAGCCAAATATAAAGAAATCACTCTATCACGCTTGAATTCCATCACGAATAACTATTTTTCTGGAAAATTCTCATGCTTTTGTACGCTTGTAAACAATATAATAAGCTGTCACTGGAATAATTTTAACAGCTGTCGGACAAGTGGCTTAGAAATTACAGCAGTCTGAAGTTGGTCGCAGTTTTTTCATCTCACCCTGTTTACACAATCAGGTCAAATCATTCCGCAAATGGTTCGTATGTATTCCTGACAGGTTTCCTTTCGATTTTTCTGTAGAATTTAATTTTTTTTCAATCCCCAGAATGAACAAGTTTTCTTTCGAAGATTGACATTTTGTGGGAAAAAGACCTCTTTTGTCCGACTACGGCCCTTATTCGCGAATTTTCCTATCTTATTAAAAATTATTTTTGTTTTTCCAAAAAAATCCAAGTGCCACTTGGTCTTTGTTGTTCCACCCATCCCCCCGAAAGAAGGCAACATTGTTAATGAGTTTATTCAGCCGCCGATGACAGTAATTTAAGCGTTTAAACAAAATATAATTTCCTTGGTAATCTGCTAAATGTCATAATTTCATCATGTGTTGTCATCTAATGTCAGTGTCAGTGAAAATGTTCGAATTTCTTTGGGAAATGCGTAAAATTTCCCTCTAGTTGTTGCTTGCTCGCTCGCTTGTTTATTTGTTTGTTGTGCCTTCTCTTGTCAGTGGATATTTCAAACATAACTCAAATGGCGACTGATCCGATGGTTAATTTTTTATGCCATCTATCCAGACTAATACTAATTTTGCGTCTAATTATTTTGGCCCAGAGCCAAGGTGACAATAACAACAAACCATCCATGTCATAGGAAAATCGTACCAGCAAATCTCTGTTGAGACAATGTTTGATTGTCACAATATGTTGCCGGTGACAGAAATTGATCTGCCACACCGGCTGTGTGTTGTTGATTGTGTGGAAAAATAAACACATGCCGGACTAGGCAAAACATCAACATTGGTGAAATGTCAATCACCGGCAAATGGGCGACATGGAACCGCAAGTGGCTGGCGGTGGCAAGTGTTATCGGCTGTGCCCACCTACTCCATATTAATTGGATTGAGAAAATTATGTTCCATGTCCACATCAATGCGGGAAACATTGTTTATACATTTTTATAAGTAAATGTCTCCGACATGTGTCTCTAGGTATGAGTGTATGTAAATAATCATCAAAGGTTAATTTCATTTGAAAACTTTAAATAACCCATCATGACCAACACCTTATCACACTCACCTACCAACTGAGTCACACACCCCACACCACATCTCAGAGAACAAAACGGCCGCCAATCGTTTATGACAAACTAGTTGTTGGAGGCCATTCCATTAGCAGGCTCTAAATTTAATTACAACCTGTCAGCGATGAGACAGATTTTTTTCATGGTCCACCAAATGAAAATAGTTTTTGTTATATATATATATATAATTTATTGATAATTTTGTGGTTTTATAGTGATTACTCACTAAAACACATGTCATGTGGTATTTTTAAATAAAATATTAACATTTATATATTTTTGAAAAAAAAAAAAAATAATAATAATAAAAATAGTGCTAAAATTCTTTGCTAAAAATTGAGTGTTCAGATTTAATGACATTTTTGTGTTGACAAATTTATTAATGTATTTTAATGTTATAAAAATAGTGAAATTTTATTAGCTTGGGCGCCAAATTATGAAAATGCCAAGGGTATGA